AGGCAAGAGTAAAAGGAGTAGAAAAAGAACACCAAGGGCTAAATACTGTTTCACTTTTTCTCACTTAAGTGGCACTTCTATGACTGCCTAATAGTGATTTATGGCACTTATGCACAGTTTGGATTCTATTATCACTTGTATAATTATGCTTCCCCTGTGCTTTCTTTTTTGAACATGCTCAGAAGACTCCACTCTGGTTATGTAGGCTTTGGGGGAAAAATAAAATCGCCCCGGCACACACACAAAGCTGTGAAATCCTGAAAGTATAATTGCATAAAACTGACTGGCTGGAAGAAGGAGTGAAAGAAGGGGTCCTCCTACCTTTTAGCTCAGTAGTCTACTGTTTATTGTACTTTTCCTGGGGGGCAGGAGACCCAGATTCTAACCATCCCTCCAACAGAAACACCACGAATCTCACACTGCCCAGCAAAAGACTCTAACCACAGGCAAAAGGCAGAATAAATTTACTTCATTAGGTACAAGTAACGTACTGCTTACAAAAGCTTATGCTACGTATACCTGATTTAGTTCATCTATAAAGTGCAAATCTATCCTGCCTAACTTGAGACTAATATGGCTATTTGCCTGTCTAACCACCAGGCCATGAACTAGACATTACACTAAGCACTTTTCAGTTCTTCTCTGAAACTTGACTCACTGGGCAGCCAGAAAGAGGAGATATGAGCAGCTAGGAGGAAGAAAACAATCCAAAAAAAGTGTGACTCCATGAGGTACTGTCCTAAAAGGCCCTTGACCTTCTCCATTGTTGTATTTCCCATATGTCTGCATATATCTGAATGACCCTGTTTTGCTACAGATAGAAATAGAATTTAAAAGCTACTTAGGAAAAAAAAACCCTGCATGTATGTGGCTATGTAAGTGCCATATAGGTGTGTAAAGGTGAAACAGGATTTAGTTCTAACATTGCAAAATGCAATGTTAAACATCCTTAAATTAGGAAAAGACAGAATTAAGGTTGTGCACGTAACCTTAATTTGCTCCTTTATAAATAGAAGTATGATACAACATAGAATTATCACATAAGTATTGCATTTTTTCTATATAGAATCCCTGGATAGATCAAGGCTTTTTAGTGCAGGAAGCCATTGTCTGCAGGACCCTGTCTCAATTGTTGAAGAAGCTTCAAGTTGAATACTGAATGAGGGAGAGGACTGAAAGAAGAGAAGGGATGATCTCATGGTTAGAGAATTTGAAGGCTGCCCTGGGAGATTATTACATCCTATTCCAGTCTCTGCCACAGAGTTCTTGTATTATCCTGGGCAAGTCAGATAAACCTAAATTTTCACAGCTGTCTACTAAATAGATGTTCTTGATTTTCTGGATGCCCTATATGAGACATATGGGGTCTGATTTGTAAAACTGCTGTACAGTTACAGCTGCAATTGAAGTTGATTTGAGGTGTGCATTGGATATAAAAAGTGCTATTAGACTGTGAAGTAGCACTCTGAAAAATCAAGCCTATACAATTAGCTGACACTTTTGGCTGTAATCTCTGGGTCTCATCTGGAGAACTGAGGCACAGAGACATAAAAGTCAAAAGTGCTAGCTATTTTTTTTTACTCTGTTTTCCAATAGTTGAAGTTGTATTGCTATGATACTTTTTTTTTTTCTTTCTGTGCTACGTTAATACCGTAGTTAGGAATAAAATACCCAAGCAAAAATTTTCAACGACTGGTCAAAATTAAGAGCTACCATATTTTTTAAGAATGACTAAGAAGTGAGAATTATTGCTGTTTCTTAAATATTGCTTCCTGGTTGCTCCATAGCATGTTGGATAGTCTATATAACCTATGTTGGAATAGTTGATTGAATACTGAAAAAGTTATTGTCTCCAGTGCCTGGAGTATATGTAGACTTAAACTGAGAAACTGTATAACTTTTCACAAGTCATAACAGGTTTTTTAGTGTATTTGTTTCTCTAATATTTTTGGTATTCTGTTAAAAAGTCTCATATCTCTACAAAATGTTCCAAACAGAGGGATTCAAACAATAACAGCAACAGCTCCAATGCAATAAAAGTATTAAAATATTTAAAAGGCCAGTTGGACATTAAATTTAATTTCAAATATAATGGAAGATACTTACATGTGTGATACATGGTAGTGCAGACTACCAAAATTGTTTTTTTTTGTTTTGTTTTGTTTCTTGTTGCACAGTTCTCTGAAAGTTGTCTGTCTCTTTAATGGTCTCCCAATCTAGCAGTTTCTCCCTCATTATAAAAAAAAAAGCATTTCCATTCCATGATCACTTCTTTGTCTCTACATTTATCTCAATCTGCTGTTGCTCTCTTCTCTTCTGCCACTGCTTGCTTCTCTAGCATTGGCCGACAAGTTTGCACCTCTGTCTTAGAATGCAGGGTCTTTTTTGTTACAAGCAAAATGTGTCCTGTTTGGTAGCACAGAGGCAGCAAACTGCCTACATATAATAGAAGATATTTAAAAGGGAGAGGAAGAGGGGTGCAATGGAATTTTTTTTTTCATAACTGGCCACAAACACAGAATGTCTCCAGCCCATTCAGAGTGGATTTGGATGTAAAACAAATGGCAGGGTGCCAAGGGGCATTTAATTTCTTTCCTTCCTCTTGTTAACCCCCTGAGTTCCTGTTGATTTCCATAGGTTTGGAAAGCCAGTTCTACCAATATTAGATACTCATAAACATACATGTAGATACATTTTGATAGCAAATGTAATAATGAAATACAGATAAGATATAAATGACCAAACAGGTAAAGCATACCAAGGAAATGATTAAAATAGATAAAATGTACATTCATCTAAAAATATAACAATCTTCTTAACATTTGAAATAATTAAAAAAAAACTTTTTAAAACCTGAAGTCTTTCAGAGTCTCAAAGATGTTAAGGAAAAGGACTTCTTATCTAGGTTTAAACTGGATTTTAAAAGAGCACTTATCTTGATTTATCTGTAGATAAGCTATTCAGCAGAACTGTAGTTCAAGGCTGAAGAGCAAATATTCTGAGGTAAACCGAGAAAGTTATACTCTATTGCCTGAATCAGTATTAAAAAGTTTACTAAATAAAGCCAACATTTAAATAAATGTTCCTAATATGTTCTACTCTAATTACCATATGCCTATTTTTATCCCCTATTTAAGCTATATCTTGTCCTAACTCAGATCTAATTGGCATAAAACCACTAAGTATACTGTGAGCAACCTTTTACTTTTTTTTAACCTGTCATTCTAGAATATCTTTAAATTATTCTCACTTCTTACATTCTCTTGTTTGCTTATTTCCTTTGACTCTTCTTCTCTTACCCAAACTTTGGTCAAGAGAATGCAAGCAGATGCTATATTAGGGGGTCAAGCAAAGTTTCTGGGCAGAGTGCCAAAAATACATGCAACCTCAATGTATAAGATGTTAGCATGCCAGGGCAGATGGCGGGGAAGCCATGAGGGGCCTGATCCTCACTGTGTCAGTGTAGCCCCAGCCTCTTCCCTGCTGTCTGCCCAGAGGCACATGCACCAAGCAAAATGCCTGTGCCTGCCACACTCTGGCACCCATGCCTGAGGTTGCCTACTCCTGTGCTATATCATACTGCTGTTAAGCAGCCCTGCACTCTCATTTAAAACTTTCTTAAACTCAAAGTGGCAGGATGAGGCTATTTAATAGCAATGGTTGCTTAATTTTCCTTTCACTTTTCAAGACTCACATTTTTGGGTTCCCACTGCATAGGGACATAAGCATAGCAGTCACAGCATCTTTATACAGGTCCAAATTTTTGTTCATCTGCTACACAATTTCCCAAATGTCCTGCCCTCATGCAGCTGCAAAGGTTCCTTTTCAGACTATTTCCTGCTTTCTAATAGGTATTTCTCATAAATCAATAAGGATAATTTTTGTTGTGACATGATGCTCCAACTTGTTTTATTATTGCTTTATGATGCTTATATATGCTTTATTGCTTTATGATTTATAAATATAACCCCACACACACACACAAGTGGAAAGTCTCACTCTCTAACACCCAGGTGCCTCAATTAGACTCAACTATATATTTATACAAAATAATAAGTAAAATAACATTACAAGTGACATGATCTTCAAACCAGTTACTTATGTGGCCACCATGGTTTTCAACAATATTGGTGAATATAGACCATACTTCTCATATTCAGACTTTAAAAGCTCATTTTAGACATTCAGGTTTGATAAATTTACCTGAAACATCTTAATATTTTATGATTTTTGGCTTATTAATGGACATGATTATGAGGATGTAAATATGGTTAAAAATCTTCCCCTAAATCCCAACATGCTGTTTAGGGAGCACTGAAATAATTTGCACTACTCATGTTTATCCTGAAAATGTTTCCTAACTTTGGGTAGAAAGAAATGGTTTTTTTTTTGCTAGAAGGGAACATGTTATCAAAACAAGTGAATTAAGCCCCTGGTGAGTAGAAGTGTTTGCACTGCAGCCCATCCATAATTAATATTCATTCAACAGATGTTCTCAAGCTTTTCTCTTTAGATATGATATAGACAACAAAAATATGCTTTGTTTTGATTCTTAGTATTTTAAAACCTTTCCCTGAAGCATCATATATAGATGGGATATGTTGATATAACTGGCTATAAAATGATTAAATTGCCCTGTCTTTTAAAAATGTGTAAATGATATTTTTAGGCAAATGTTTATTTCTCACATATTCCTTCATGTGTTTATCTTTGTTATCATTTAATACTATTTAATTCCCCTTGATTATAAATGTATGCTATTATACAATAAAAGATGTTTTCTTACCTAGTATAGCATTTATGTCATATAATCTTTTTCAGCATATTATTCAGCAAAACTGTAAATTTGTTTCTGAGGCGTTCAATTTTTAAAATGAGTAAACAGACCTGGATACTTCTTCAAAGACAAAGAAAACACCAACCAGTAATAGCACCTGTACAAATGTACTCAAAAAGACAAAAATTGACAGCAATGACTTATTTTTCATAATTCATTACAGAGCTACCAGTGTGTCTGCCTGCCAGGGTGGGAAGGAACATTTTGCGAATATGAATCCAATGAATGTAACCCAGAGCCTTGCAAAAACAACGGCACCTGCACAGATCTTTTCAACAGCTATCAGTAAGCATCTTCTTCTTCACTGTTATATGATCAGGTTCCTGCAATGACAAATCATTGCCCCCCTATATTTGGTAAATTTAAAATTACTGTATGAAGATGAACAAAAAACTTCTGTCATGCACACAGTGCTCCAAGTCCTGACATGTTCATTTGATATCAGTAGCCATAATAAATTACAGATGGCAAGTGAAACAAATGAATCAATGCAAAATCCTTAGCAGGTAATCTAATCTGGAACTGAAGTTTATCAAAGGAAATATGGAATATCTTTCTACCGTATGTGCCCCTTAACTGTAGGAGATATTTATGGGGTAAAGGCAGTGGGGGTGGGAACCATGTTACATAGAGAAGTCCCCTTTGGTTGTATCATTACTGCCACCTTGTGGATAAAGAAGATAACAAAGTAGTAAAATAGCCTGTGAATTACAAGCAGGTGTATGAGAGAGTATGGATTTGACAATAGAAAGAAGTACTGTTCTCAATTCAAACTCAGATCTTTATTTTAGTTTAGCACATTGTGTACTAATAATGATTTTATATGATAAAATTCTTCTGGCAATGTAAAACAATTTTCAGTCAGTTTTTGTTGCTCATTATTATGGTGTGTGTATGTCATCTTTTACATCGGTACTAAAATGGTCTTTCCAAAGCTGAATCTAAATTCTAAGAGAAGCAGGTGAGAATGCTGGAAAGCACAACAGATGTAAAGTACTGTATACCATTCCATTATTTCATTGCTTTTTTGCAAGCTACAGTATGCTCAATACAGTGAAAATAGCAAGACAGAGAACCTGCTACAGATTAACACATTAAACAAACATTAAGATACAGCGCACATTATATAATCAGAAGGTAAATTCAGTAGAAAGTCCTGCAGTATTCTTTTTTGGCTTTTTATGTACAGGTGAAATATGGCTTATGATTAGAGCTATGTGCATAAATGAATTGTTTTGTTTGCTGACTGAACCAAAAAATGGTAAAAAAGCCTTCAACTCGAAAAAGATTTCAGCTGACCTGAACCCCACCCCCCTCCCCCCATTCTTTGTAAACCCCTTGTAAACATGAAAAGACAATTTGTAGTTAGCAAATGAACAAACATATTTTGTAACTGTTAAAATGAAATGGTTTGATTTTTCTCGGTCCTCCCCTTCACCTCCCACCCTTGTTTCAGCCTGAACAGTTTTCCGAATTCGATCCAAACATTGTTAGTTTTCCTGAATATATATTTTTCACTGAATAGACTATTCATCAAGTAGAATTTGCCCATTTTTTGTTATGGTAGTATTCCAGGTGCTTGTGCTAAGGATGTACAGCTTTAAGAGTGCTGTTTGTGAGGGGTTTTTTTAAGTTTGTTTGCACCATGAAAAGTTTTTAAAGTAGTTTATTTGTAACTAACCTGTAGAATGAACGAAATGTAATTATTTACTTTTATGCTATATTGGCCTTATTAGCACTGCTCTTCTGCTGTAGAGGGCCATAAACCAGTGCCGTCCCACACAACTTCCACCAAAGAAAACCCCTGATTTAAAAATAATATTTGGAGAGCATAAAACTATGCGAATATCTCCTACCTATCCTCACTGCATCTGGAGGTCTTGGGGTTGTTATCACCAGAGAAGGATAAAAATGCTACACTCAAGAAAGTTTTGGTTATCACTTGGGGAAAAGACAGTTGAATGGAAATGAGAACATCCTTGAAGCGCTAATGCATTTGCAGTTTAGTCAGGTCCCCCTACTGTATCCATGCGGCAAGATATAATGGTATTTCTCTTTTATTCTTGCACTGTACTCTGCTATAATAGAGATGAAGACCTCAGTTATTTAAAAGAAAATCCTTAGAAGAATACCTTCTGGGACTGGACCATGCTAGCAAAATGTTCTTAAAATAAATGGTTCAAAGCAGGAATTCATCTGCTCCTTCAGAACTCTACCTCTTTTATGTCATAATATAATTATGATACTAAGCATAATTATAGATCATTATAATCACAATCCATGATAAATCTAATTTCAGTAAAAGTAATAATGCTTTTCAGACCAGATATCTGAAAATTTGACTTCCATAAGGAAACTGACCCTGAGCCAAGCGGCAGATCCAGGTAGGGTGCACTAGTGCGCTTGCCCCCACTCTGATTTCTGCTCCACCCGAAGTTTAAAACCAGCTGCTTGGCAGTAACATTTTTAGTCGAGCAGTGCTGAGAAAGTTACTTGATTTCATGGCTCTTTATAATCATCCAGAGCCTATCTAAACTCTTCATTCAACAGGTGTTAATGACTCTGTCTTCCTTTGAATGGTCTTGATGTTCCAACAATCAAACTATTCTTTGTTCTCCTATTCCACTGTCTGTTAGCTGCTTGTGGTAATAAAGCTCCTATATCATAGCCCTACAGATTGCGTTTAACTCATTCCAAATAAATTATATTTGTTTTTGCCTCAATCTTAAATTGAATAATATAGCCTTAGTAAAGGTTCTAGTTTAATTTTAACTGGAGAAAAATATGGGTTGTTTTATATGTGATGATAAACCTCACCGTCTGCACCCCCCCCTTTTCAAACTTCTAGGTCTGCTCATGTCCTCAGTTGTTTTTCTGCTGTTAAGAACTGGTGTGACTGTCAGGGACGCTGATCAGGCAGACCATACTGGGCCCAGTACTGTCAGGGACTCTGAGCAGGCCAGTCAACAGTTCTGCTGAGGCTTGGTTCCTGACACTGTTTTCTGAATTATTTTTTGACTTTGACTTTGCATTTCCCTGTGGTTCTTGGTCCTGGATCCAGAATCCAGTTTGGCTCTGTTTCATAGGTTTCACAGACATTAGGGCTGGAAGGGACCTCGGAAGATCATCGAGTCCAGCCCCCTGCGCCAGGGGCAGGAAGTCAGGTGGGGTCATAGGATCCCAGCAAGATAAACATTCAAATTTCTCTTGAAGGTGTTCAAAGTAGGTGCTTGAACCACCTCCAATGACAGGCTATTCCAGACCTTGGGGGCTCAGACAGTAAAGAAACTCTTCTTTATGTCCAGCCTGAAATGGTCTTACAGGAGTTTATAACCATTAGACCTTATTGTCCCTTGGGGTGCTCTGGTAAACAAATGTTCCCCCAGATCCTGGTGGACACCCCTTATAAACTTATAGGTGGCCATCAGATTGCCCCTGAGCCTGCACTTTTCCAAGCTGAAGAGTCCCATAGCTCTCAGCCTCTCATCATAAGGTCTGTTTTCCTGACCTCTGATCATGCACATGGTTCTTCTCTGGACTCTCTCAAGCTTCTCCACATCTTTTTTGAATTGTGGAGCCCAAAACTGGATGCAGTACTCCAGCTGTGGTCTCACCAGGGCCGAGTACAATGGGATAATGACGTCCTGAGATTTGCTTGAGGAGCATCTACGGATGCAAGCCAGCATTTTTCTCGCTTAACTCCAGCTGTGGTCTCACCAGGGCCGAGTACAATGGGATAATGACGTCCTGAGATTTGCTTGAGGAGCATCTACGGATGCAAGCCAGCATTTTTCTCGCTTAACTAGCTGCAGTATCACATTGAAGGCTCATGTTCATCTTGTGGTCAATCATAACCCCCAAGTCCCTTTCATCCGTAGTCCTAGCCAGCGTAGCACTGCCGAGCCTATTAGGATGCTGCAGGTTTTTCCTCCTAAGGTGGAGAACCTTGCATTTTCTGGTGTTAAACACCATCAGGTTCTCATCCTCCCATTTCCTGAGCCTGTCGAGGTTATCCTGGATCACCCTCCTGTCCTCAGGTGTGGATGCTTTACCCCAAAGTTTGGTATCAATGGCGAACTTGGCCAGTCCACTTCTGACTCCAATGTCTACATCACTAATGAAGATGTTGACCAATATAGATCCCCCTGTCACCAGTGGGGTTCTCCAAGGACAGAGCCTTGGAGAACCCCACTGGTGACAGGGCATTATGACAATTGACTTCCATCAACCACCACCCTCTGGGTCCGACCACAGAGCCAATTCCCGAGCCAGCAGATTGTGGTAGACCCGAGGCCTCAGTTGGCCAGTTTTGCCAAGAGGTGATCATGGGATACCAGATCAAAGGCTTTTTTGAAGTCAAGTTATATGACATCAATTTCCTTTCCCTTGTCCAGGTGATTGGTCAACTGGTCATAAAATGAAATAAGATTGGTCAAGCAAGAGCTACCCACAACAAACCTTCTGGCTATCCCTCAGGATGTTGCCATCAGCCAGTCCGTTAAGAATGGCCTCTTTGATAATCTTTTCTAAGACCTTCCCCAGGATAGAGGTCTGGCTGATGGACCTGTAGTTAGCTGGATCCACTTTCCTCCCTTTCTTGAAGATAGGCACCACATTGCTCTTCTTCCAATCTTCGGGCACATCACTAGCACACCAGGAATTCTTGAAGATCCATGCCAGGGGCTGAGCTATGATGCTAGCCAGCTCCTTGAGTACCCTGGGGTGTAGATTGTCAGGGCTGGCTGACTTGAAGGGGTCCAGCCTCTCAAGGTGTTCCTTCACAAGGTCAGCATTGATGGAGGGCAGGAAATCTTCCTCACTCGGGCCTCCCTGTCCTGTGATGGGCAGAGGTGTCCCATGGGACTGGTGAAAAGCTGATGAAAAGTACCCATTTAGTAGGTTGGCTTTTTCCTGGGCGTCGATCGTCAGTTGTCCCATCTGGTTTAGTAGTGGTCCAGTGTTGCCCTTGCTTTTCCTCCGGCTCCCCACATACCTAAAAAAGGACTTTTTATTGTCCTTGACCCTAGTAGCCAGTTGGAGTTCCATTGCAGCCTTGACTTTGCTCCATCCTTTGTAGGTCTTTCTTTTTAGACACAGGAGGTCCATTAGTTCCTTGCTGAGAGAAGGGGGATGCTGTGCCCTTTTCCTGCCTTTCCTCCAAGATGGAATAGCCTTAGCTTGTGCATCTAGGATCGCTCCCTTGAGGAGCAACCGCT